TATATATATATTATACACATAGTACATATAGGTATATAATTCTCAAGCAATGAAATTTTTCTTTCTATTCAGAACAATTCTGTTGGAGTTCCGACCGAGAGGACCGAGAACAATGCCGACAATGCAATCACGAAAGGGCAGAACTTTCCCTACCTTTCTCTTTCTTTTTACAACTTTTCCCTCTCTCTCTCTTGCTTTCATTCTCGTTTCAATTAATTATTAACGACCATGTCAAGTATCTTAAAAAAGAAAATCATCAAATTATACCCTCTATACAAGTATAATTATATCACGGAATTATCGTTTCTAAAAATTATAAATCAAAAAGAAAAAAAAAATACAGCAATTCTTATTTCTAATTAATAATAATCGAATAAATAATGATTTATTTATGTGAAACGTACATTCTTGCCACTGGACATTCCGAGAATCATGATAATCGTCCGGCTGAACGTGGTCACGTGGCCAGTCAGTCCTTCATCCAGTTTGACGTTGCTCCTATTTTTTTTTTCTTTTTTTTCTTTTCAATCGATGCGACGATTCAGAAATCAATCGACGATGAGAGATTAATTAACACGCGCGAATTATGATTCACGTTGTGTCTCGTTAATAAATCTTCCACCGATAGTTTTTCTTTTAGACGATCGGAAAACCTAATTTCTAAATTAAAAAACATTTTACGAAACGAGAAGAAATAAAAATAAGAATCACGGGTTATATAATAATAATATGATGACGAAAACAAATAATAAAATAAAATAATAATTTATCAACGATTATTATACTTAACAAAATAATCAAGAGAGAGGGAGAAAAAAATGTAACAACGCGAGGACAAAATTATGATTGACAAAAATACGTTGAAATAAAATGATAAATTATAAAATACGATAAACCTAAAGTGGTGTATTTTTAATGTAAACGATGATCACAAAATCATGATGAAAATAATAGAAATAATGATTACCAACACGAGGGTTTTTGGATTATAAATAATTACACGATATTTCAGAATAAGTATATATATACATATACATATATATTTATATATATGTATATATATATATATATGATTGAAAGATAAAGATTTGAAGTTTGTCTCTTTATCACGAAAAACACCTTTCGCGAAATCGGTTGACACCTTCAGAGGAAGAGGTCGCGCGCAGAACTGACACCTCATGCGCGCGGTCCAGCAGCCCTCAGCATCCACCACCACCACCACCATCACCACCACCTCCCTTATCCTCACCCTCACCCTCACCACCAGCAGTAGCAGCAGCACCAGCAGCAGCACCAGCAGCATCCTCCTCTTCCTCTTCCTCTTCTTCCTCCTCCTGTTCCTCCTCTTTGGTGGTGGTGGTGGTGGTGGTGGTAGATGATGGTATTGGTGGTGGTAGTTTCGAGGGGGATGAAGCCGAGCACGCGCGAAATTCTACCTCTGTATTCTCCTCTTTTCTCTTCACTCAACCCCTACCCCTTACCCTTACCCTTACCCTTTCCCTTTCCCTTTCCCTACTCCTGCTTCTCCTTCCCTCTCTTTCTATTTCTCTGTTTCTCTGTTCCTCTTGAATACCGTCAACCAACCACCCCGTTCAGTTTCGTCCTGACGGAACGAAACCCAGCTTGCTACCATCGAGCCAGAAAAGGTGTCAAGGGGTGATACGAAATCGGCAGAGCCTGTCGATAATTACGGAACAAACTGTTACCGATCTTTATCCAAATTCTAATTCTTATATCACGGTTATTCTTATTTATTTCTATCCTATTAATAATACAATTTGCATTTTTTTTCTATTTTTTTTTTGCTTGGCATACATACTTCTTTTTTTATGTTATATCAAGTTCGATAATTTGATAAATATTCTCGAGCAGGTATTTTTAACGTATAATATAATACAGTATATTTGAATTTTAATTATTATAATTATTATTATACTGGTTAATATGAGGATCTTGTTAAATATTTTCAAAGAATATATTTTAATAATATTTTGTATATATCAATATAAAACTTATTCGTATATAATGCGATATAATTTATATCAATCATAAAATATATATTTTTGTATTGTTAATTACAATAGAAAATAAATTCACACACAATTATAAACATAAATACTTTTTTCTTACGATTTAATTAATTACAGTTATGTGAATAGTTTGATTTTAAGATTGTTGATAAATTATTTGTAGAGGAGGGATGAGTAGAGCATAAAACAAAAATGTGAGAAAAAAAATATAAATAAAATAATGATAAGACATTGCAAAAAAAAAAAACTTTATAAGTTGTGCAATGAAAAACCTGATTATAATAATATTATAATACTTTGTTCTTACGAACAAAATAATGAGCTCATTTAGTCAGATTAAAATGTTGTCTATGTAAATATGAGTATAAATTTATCCCCATAAAATATCTATACCACGTAATAATACTTTTAAGGGTAGATGACTATACGATCCTTTGATCTTCTCGATCCTTTCCCGTTCACCTAACATCGATTGAACAGTCGAGGACACGCCGATGGATTAATCGTCTATCGTTCGCTAATTTACGAGAATCTCTTCCCTTCTCTCTCTTTCACAGAAACACACAGACATAAATACATACATAGACACCCCCTTCAGTCTATATAGATCGTTTGGTATTAGACGCTGATACACGTCGAGGTCATTGCCTATAACAAATGCAATTTTGGTATACGCGAGAGCGTAATTATCGAACGAAATGCTCTCGTACGAATCGAAACGCGTTTATCATGATCAAATTCTGTCGAAAAATTGTATGCACACTACATGTTTCAGGTTTTATTTTTACATTGAATAACCCAATTTTTGTTTTCCATTTTTTTTCTCTCTTTCTCTCACATACACACACACACCACACACTTTCTCTCTCTCTTGATTTTTTATTTATTTATTTATTTATTTATTTCTCTTTATTTTTATTTTTCAGTCTATACCCTGAAAAATACTTTCACGTCATTTCAAAGTTTTATGACGTAACTTTCCAACGTACCATCGTTAATATCGAAATTTAAAAGCAAACAAAAATATGTATATATCTATACAATACGTGTATAAATTAGGTTACTAATTGAGATATCGTATACACTTTTTAATTTGTTCTATAACATTGAGGTTGGTCCACAAAATAAAATATAAATTAGGTTAAATTGTAATACCTTATTAAACAAATGAATGTTAACTGACGCATTATATTTAATAATTATGAACTATTACCGGTTTTATTTTTAAATTACAATCTAACCCTTAACCCCTTGCCCACACTTCTCTTATACTTATAATTCTATTTATCTTTGTTTACTTTTTAGAATACTTTTCGTGCAATAATGAAACAATTTTTGACATCTGGCACGCGTCCGGTGATCGGTGATGGGAAACAGGGGGTGGAACGGCGGCAGGGAGGGAGGAAGGGGGGAGTTTGCATGCGTGTATGCATTTAAAGGGAGAGAATGCGTGCAAATTTCAACCCCCTTCCCTTCCCCTTACCCTATTCCGGCATCCCTCAGCCACCATTCCTGTTATAACACTTGAGTATCCAGCAGTAACACTCACATGACTCTATTTGATTCAGGGCAAGTGCTATACCTCGCACCTATATAACACTGGCAACTCCAGGAAAGGAGTGAGGGATGGGTTAGAAGGGTGTGAAGGGTGGGAAGGGTGAAGAGAAGGTACGCCCAATAATTACCGGGCAATACGAGCCATATTGCAGCAACGTAACGCCCGATGACCTAACCTCATTGAATAATTAAACGCTTCGTGTTCTATCTATACACCACGGACAACTTCCAAGACCAATTACAAAGTGTGAAAGGATAAATATCATATTCTTAAAGGATTCAAAACGTGTACTTAAAAAGAAAGACACCGCGTGTCTATGAAAGGTGGAAGTAAAAGTGGGTAGATAAATAATAGTTGAATAATATTGAAGATCTTTTGTTAATCACAAGATAATATGAATTATGATATATTACTGAAGTACAATCTGTTAATAGATTAATTTTTAATGAAATAGACAGTTATTGTTAATTATATTATCAATATGATGTATATATATATGTAAATTAGAAATGAATGATAAAACTTATTGTTAATCGTATTATCAATATGACATATATAAATTAAAAAGGAAAATTGTCTCTCAAAAGCCAATATCGAGTCCCATTAATTCCATTTTAAATCTTCTAATTTCAATTTGGTGGCTTGCGAATCGGTAAACAGTCTTAATGGCCCTTTAAAGTCTCGAGTAGCTGAACATAGCGTAACTCAACTCAGAATAGTATCGAAGTTTTCTCTATAAAGTTGGCAAAAGGAATATATACATATATATATAACATTTACCTGCCCCCATTACGAATATTGTTATTTCAAATAACTCTCTTGAATATAATCAAGTATATTAACATCCGTGAGAAATTCTTCCGTGTATTTAAATAACAGTCAAGTCGAAACAAAATTAAACTAAACTAAACTAAACTAAACTAAACTAAACTAAACGACACAATGATTTATTAATTAATCATTTTCAATTGAAATGGTAAAAAAATTATAAATATCTCATTTTTTTCTCATTTACATACACGTATACATATATACACTCACGCGTATAAAAATATATTATTATAATAATTACGCTATTATTTTATGAATATGTATGTATCTTTTTTTTTCCCCCATCGAATTCAATTGTAACGTTTTATGGAAAAAGATAAAGAAAATATATAAATAAATTTCGTATTGCAATGCGAGAGCAGAACGAAAAATGAACGTTTAAAATAATCATTATTTATTTTTTTCTTCGAGCTTAATTCGTGCACGAATTAAACGACGAAAAAATATATATAAAAAGTGATTAATAATGAGCGAGAGATGAATGAGACGACTTTGAAGCAAAAAAAAAAAAGGAAACAACTACACAACGAAAAGAAAAAAAATACCAAAAGAGAAAATAGGATCGTTTTGGTCGTGTGCACAAAAAAGAGAGGGGTTTGGAGGGGTAGAAGAAGAGGGGCCGGTTAAAAACGTATAGAAATATGATGCATTTTTTTAATCGGAAAAGAATCCGAGAGTGACGACACGAGGAAGCAAAAGTCCGTCGAATGAATTTAAAAAACCGCTCAATACTCTCTCTCTGTGGCCGCCGGAAATTTTAATACTTCGTTTGAATAATTCATGAACTCGTTAATATTTCCACGGACTTAATCGTACGTTTCCCCTTTTTCTTTCTTTTTTCTTTTTATAATTATTTTTATTTCGTTTCGTTTCGCATTGTTTTGCTACCCCTGTATTCCTTTGCGAAATTTTTTTTCTTTCTATCATTTTCCTTTTTCGTAAGTAGAAGAGAAGGGGTGTATTTTTGTTTTTTCATTGAAAAATCCGAGTAATTTTTTCGTTTATTTTATTAATATAATATTCTTTTTTAATTGTACTCTCAATTGGAATAAAAGAAAAACCAAAATCGAATAAAAAAATTGGGTGTAATGATGTGTTTCAAATGAATTTTAAATACTTCTAAAAAACGAAATAATAATAATAATAATAATAAATAATAGAAATTGATTAGGAAATGAATGAATGAATGTTAGGAAACATTGTCAGATGCACGGCAGCAAATAGGTCGACGGTATTTCCAGGACACCTGCCGGTCTGGATAATGCTAATAGAACTTTCCCGTAAATAGTACAGTAAACGGTATCGCACGAGCGACAATTAATTATCAAACTGTGGCCCCCATACTGTTGTTGTTTGTTATGTGTTTTCGTTCGTTTCCATTTCTACGATATATAACTACGTTTAGATGTCATTCTCAGTGGATGCCAAATGAAATTACCGAATAGTTGGTCAAGTACCAAACTTTTCCTCCCATCCACCCCCTAGTCCCCGTTTCAAGAATAATATTATGCGACGATCATTTCCAAAACTAATCGCGTTGAACGGTAATTTTATTTATCTTCGGAAAAAGAAAAGACAAAAAAAAACAAACGATGTCAAGCGAATAAAGATAATGTTAAATGTAAGATAATTTGATAAGATGACACAGGACTGTGTCTTGATAATCAAGATTTACCTTGTAGGAAGTAAATTATCTTAAGACGAACAATCAAGAGCTACCTGCTTAGTCCGTATATTGTTACGCGTTATGCGAACAATCCCGAGCGAAGGATGCAATTATAATT